ACTGACTGCAGCGAGATGCGTCGTTTTTGCGCCTTATCGGACAATGAAACCAAGAATACAATACAATATTACAATACCTATTATTCATTACATGTATAAGTATATATACATATGCACGCACACACACACACACACACACACACACACACACACACACACACACACACACACACGCGCGCGCACACACACACACACACACACACACACCACACACACACACACACACACACACACACACACACACCACACACACACACACCACACACACACACACACACACACACACACACACACACACACACACACACACACACACACATACACACACACACACACACACATATATATATATATATATATATATAAACATATATGCAATATATCACAATCACAATGCTACCAACCAAAAACGTGACCATTTAATTAATCGTCTACGTTTGGAAAAGCCTTCAAGTATGCCGCCCTCCACTTTGACGTGAATATTCCCCAATGATTGGCACCAGCCGACTTAACCGATAGCGACGTAATCATCCAAAAATAACCGCCAATACCACACTAACCGTGTCGAACATGTCTAACGGCCATGCTGCGTTGCAGCCTTTACCGCACCTTGCGGTTACCGGTCAGGGGTTCCGTAGCAGCCTTTAATAGCGGCACGAAAAAGCTTTCATTCTTTTTTCGAGGCCGTACACGTCCAACAACGTCTGAAGTCACGTAACGTCGGCCGTACGTCGAATGCCGTAGCCGGGTTTCGACAATCGACACCAAACAAAATGAGGAACAGCATCTCCCGCCAAGAAAGAGCGAGGAAACGTGCTATAGCATAAATCCAGTTCCTTGCTCACTTGGGGAACTCCAACTCCATAGCGCTGAGGGGAAAGTGGGTCAAATTTGGGAAGGTATCTGTTTTTAGTGCCTTTATGGCTCGGTTATCTCGTTCACTGCGCAGTCTAATTTTGTAAAATTACAAGGATGTGGTCTACAAGGCTTCCCGAGGCTTCAACAGGTCATATATTGACAAAAAGCCCGTAGTTGGCCCGGGAAATCTTGGAGGGAGTCTGCAGAGGGCGTCTGCAGAGTCTGAGCCCGAAGGACCCCTTTTGACTGACGAACAATCAAATACCCAGTTGGAGGACCTGAAGGGCTGGCTTTAGATGACGTTGAGGACCGCGACCCGTAGGACAGGGCCCTCAAATGTCACGCAAAAGACCTCTTGCACCGATTGAGAACACCCTGGAGCAATGCCAGCCTCCAGTTCGGTCAGAGATGACCAATACCGAACAGTTGGTTCCATGTCGGTCTGAGCCCTGAGGCCATTTCCCATGCAGAGACAAGGCTAGGACCCGTGAATTACATTGTTCGGGACTCCTAAAAACATGAGGGCCCCTGAATCAGTCAGGGGCCTACAATGCCTGACTGTTCTGTGTCGGTAAGGGACCCCGAGTCGGCCAGGAGAGGATATCCCGAACAGGGACTGGAACTGGACTCCAAATGTCAGGGGGCCTCCTGAGTCGGTCGGGACTCCCTGACAGTTGCATTGGATGTGAGAACGGGACTCTACCAATTATCGGGCACCTGTGTCTATATGGATTTTGTTGCGTTAACGGGAGCCCCTGTGCCCATCCGGGGCCGAATGGCCAGGTCAAGGGCATCCGGCGTCAGGCACGCGACCAATGCATGACTGATCTCTGCAAGGGCAAGAGACTAAGAAAAAGGCTGGAGCAGTCCTTTGTCTCAAAAGTATACCAGTAGTTATAGTTATATAACTAACCGATGCTTGTATTGATAGAGAGCTTAATTCATCATATCTGATGCTTGCTTCGATATCTTGAAATGTAAAACATGTTCTTTGATGCGATCTTTTTCTCGGCGTTTGGCCAGCAGCTTACGTCGTAAATAATGCATTTCTAGTTGCGCTACTGACGATTTTCGAAAAAATTCAAAAGGGCAAAACTATAAGCACGATAAAAAAACGCGCCCAACGAGAGACGCAGTTGAATTTCATTGCGCCACCAAAAACAAAACCATGTTATTCATACAGAACACCGAGATAAGGATTGCATTAAAGCTGGTGCAGACCTTTTCTGACATGGGTTAAGGATACGTGGCCGGTGACGTTCGTGTGGCACGCTGGCCTATTTCGTGCGGCCTGCGATGATGGGACACGCATGCAGCAAGAGGTTCTAGAGCCCATTTAGGGACCGTAATCAGTGTCACATTATGATCCACATAGGCCTAAATCATGAACAACGATTCAAAGTAGCAGAATAGGGGCACTTTTGCATGAAATGGATAAGTGGTGGTGCGTTGATCGCAACGAGAAGGCGAGTGCTCCTTATGCTGCCCGCGAGAATGACCGCAAATCTGTTCCGATGCGATCTAAAAAAGGCAAAATCGGCCAAGCCGGCTCATGGGCTACACATAATACAAACTAAGCTCAGAAATCGAATTTGTTGTTAATGGCGCTTTAAAAACAAACAAAAACGGCTATTTGACGGTGGTCTGCAGCTTGCATCGACCAAAATCAACTATTTCAAAAACTCAGGAGAAACCGGTGCGGTTCACGAGGTCCTAGGAGTTGCCCATTCCTGCCTAATGCAGTTCGTTCAAACGATTAAGATGAAGGGAAAAACGCACAAAACTGCCCATCAGCACAAACAGCACACATCTGCCCGTCTCTGGCGCAATTAAACCTAGTCATTCGGACCGGAAAACATTACACTGGTAATGTCACGACGGGCGCGTTTCATTAGGAGCGTTGCCGTTTACTTTGCTCTCTGGAGGTAATCATTACTTTCACCAAACACTTACAAATTAATATTAATCTGCGTTATGAATGTATTTTACAGCCCATACTGATAACTAGTTGTACACTTCGACGGTATCAAACAATACTGCCGTAAAAATTCTTCTCTTTCGATAGCATCTAACGACACCTAAATAGTTCTGTACAAAATCATTTCGAACAAACTGCATGACTGAATACGTCAGCTACTTGAGTGTTTCTGTTTGCTCAAGCGCGTACTTCTTGGCTGTAGCCCACACAGGTGCTCAATTTTCTTGGCATTTACTGCAGCCCGCAGTTAGTCTAGGTCCCAATCCACCGGCATTTTGAGGGCTTCTGGAACGAAGCTGGGAGAATAGGATTAGGAAAACGGAGATGTGTTGCTAGCAGGAGGTTTAAATAACAACGAAGAAAACCTACGCATCACCAACATCGCATGACATCTCAGCACGGCTCTCGCTGATCGCAATCTGTCTCGTTTCGTCTTTCTTTATAAAACTAAACTGTCATCGAGGAACAAGCATAACACTCGTTTAAACAACGGCTTCATTGGCTGATCATTTGGCCTCTTGTTTCAAGGTGGCCAGTCCCTCCTTGGAAAACCTCCTTTTCGACAAAAGTCGATGATGCCACTTCGGTGTATCAAACCATTCAGTAACGACGTTACACGGCCTCATGTCAACTCCAGCAAATAGGCTGCCAAACTTATTGCATTTCTATCCAAAAGGATGATGGGATTTTTATAATGATTGGAATGCGCAATGAGGCAAACAAAGAACTCACTGCTCTATTGGTTGAATCCAATCCAAGCCATCTTTTTGCAAACTTATCTTTTCGGCGATATCCGTCACCATCTGGACAGAGGCAGTGCGAGGGTTCTTCGCATACAACAAGCAATTTCTTTTGCAGGAGCACGTCTTCCAGCAATTCCTAAATTTCGTCACCATTTCATTAGCTAGAGAAATAGTCAAAACCCATGATTAAAATGAAAAAACATGTTTACCTTCAGACAAAAACATAGAACACGTGACACCAACTGCATTCATTTCAGTGGCAAGCTTGTTGTCCAGATATGTCCGCTTGCGTGTAACTGCGCCAGGGGCGCTTTTCCTAGGGCGCATTCGCAATACAGCAATCCATCAGGCAAAATGGATTCCTACGGCGCAATGGGTGCAAATGTTCGTTATGAGGCACCGAATTTGAGGACATTTAACCCTACAGATCGCAAAACACGACAGTTCTTTCACAGGCAAACATAAATCTTTTTGGGAATAGGGAATGTGCCAAATTTACCAAAATAACTTGTTTTTTTTAATTAAACGCGCCTGACAGATCCCACGACGGTAGCCAGCGGCGTGTGTCCAACTGGAAAAAACGGCTCTTTAGAGCTGGGACCTATTTTGAACGTCAATGAGTACTTTACACTTTTTATGTGACTTGTAGCGAGGGAGGGCGCATTTTTCACGAGTGCAATGCCGCACCCATCACCAGGCAATATATGCACCTCGGTGAAGCATGCCAGTGGCCAAAAATATCTTGCTTCCTCCACGTAGCTTTAATGTATCCGAGCAAATCATTCGCGCAAATTGAATAACACCCCCATCACTCTAGATACAACACACCGCAGTCAACATGTCAAAATCTCCTATTCGGCGCCCAGCGCTTCGCTCCAGTTTTGCCAGTTAGCAATCAAGCTAACTTTAACTATTTCCGTCCCAAACGTCCACGAGTTTGAGTGATTACACCTGACCATAGAAAAATGGGCCGAAAATAGCATAACGTTAGCATCATTTAGCTACTTCCAGCAAGAGCAGACAGAACATGCATAATGGGAGGTAAAATAAGAAAAGTTTTCAGACAGTGCAACAATACCACGAACTACCGAATGCCGTTAAGGTTCCACCAAATGAGTAATTTAGTACATAATGCACCTTTTTAGCACACAGGTAAATTATTCTTAAACACTCGAATACCAAGTCCTCGGACAGATGGTGAAAAGAAGAGCCTTCAGGGTCCCTGACATCGAATCCTAGGGCTCCTAAAATGGAGATGAATCCTCTGGAATTGGCAGCAGTCCTAGGGTTCGAGGTACGTTGGAGTGTCATGCGCTCCCAGCGCCCTCTGAGCATGACTCAGCCCGAATCCGACCCGCTGATTGGCTACCGGAGCCCCCTCGGTCGACCTTGGCACGCTGCCAGTTCGCGCCGGCCGGCCCATCCCCACCAGAGGCGTGCTGAAGCCAGAGACGCGTCAGGCTGATCCACGCGCGCGCGCTTCGGACCGTCGTGGTTGAACGTCTGACAAAACTCCGTGAGCTATGGGAGGAAAACTGAAGATTCACATCGTCTACTGGTGAGTGGTGGGTGTTTCTAGCTGCGTGATATAAGCACCAACAGGGCGTTGCCCGCGGATATCGTCTGGGGTGGCGGCGATCGCGCCCAAAGAAGCCTGACTTCCGTAGGTGTGGAGCGCCCCAGGTCGGGGATGATGGTGGGTGTCTGGATGTTCACGCAGCTCGGGCAGAGGCGGCGCCACGGGTTTTGGGTTGGGGGTGGGGGTGGGGTGGTCAAGATTCTCCTGGGGGCCTCCTTGACAAGATGGGGCCTGTCCACAGGGGTCCTGGGCGGTCTGGCATCCAGCGGAGAGGCACACCCAGGGCGTGTGCTCTCATATCAAATAGCCACTTGCATCATATCCTTTTTCAAGAGCTCCCTCCGTTTTCACTGTTTATTTACTATCATCGCGTCATTTATTCCGGCTGTCTTGTATGCCGAGAGCGTGAAAAATGTTCGCAAAATAACGTCCCCGCCTGAGAGAGTGCTGTTGCAGAATGATCTCGATCATCTAGTAGCATGGTCGGTCTGATGGAGCCCAACCCTCGACCCTTTAAAATGTAGAATGTTCACCGTGACCCGTACCCGTGCTCCTGACTAGACCAAGCATTACATCAATAGAACCGAGGTTGAACATGGATGCAAAATCAGAGACTGGCGTAACGCTAGATACCAAACTAACATTCACTGCATATGTATTTAACATAGTGCGGACAATCGAGCACTTGTCTCCGTATTCAGTCCTTCCAAGTCGGTACCATCTGGTTAAGATTCAACCGAAGCGCTGTGGTGGCTGCCTATTTTGCAAATGTGCGATCGATTTTAGAATACCGTAACGTGGTCTGGACGGGGGCAGCCAGCTCTCAAACACCGGAGATCGATCGAGTGCAGTGCAGTTTCTTATTTGGTTACTTCCTCTAACATTCCCCGGGCAAACGGCTTCTCTTTCTAACGGTGCGTTGTGTTCGACCGTGGCTCTACACACGTCACGCAGACAGCATCTTCTCCTTCAGTGCATAACTGCTTGCTTGGGCCGTGTGAAGCGTTGGCTGGAACACACCAGCAAAGGTGTCGGGACCAGACCGATTTGCTGTTTCTCCATGACTTGTGAGGGAAATTGACTCAAGGTTCCTCATATCTACCCATCAACCTTGCTTCGAATGCGGTTAAAAGGCGGGAGAGTTGTGTGTGTCATAGACACTGGGGATATCCACCACCATATGCCCACTACACGCAGTACAGCGCTTGGCTGAAAATCTTCCCTCAGATCAGTGGTCCAATGCCTTTTGGGATCCAAAATACATGCATACGCGGTAGGCCTGATCTCAAACCGCGTTATCTGGGACGCTCGAGACACCCTCAAGCCGGCAGGACCGTCGACCGTGGTGCGATGGCTAGGAAAGAATACAACACACAGGTGACCGTTGTAACAACAGTGACATACAACAATAAACAACAACAACAACGATAACACCCGAATAATTTTGAGGTGATTTTTGCCGGCTGGTTTTACGAAGAGTTTCTCCACAGAAACATAATTACTACGCAAGACTCACAGGCTGTAAGTGTGAGGTGTGGGAGTATGCCTTCCCTTTTCCATCTGCATCTTTGTGCGTGATGTCACAGAGCGTTAACGTGCGCTTTCAGATCGCTCACAAGCTGGCGTGCCATATGGTCTACCCCTCATCATATGTACCCCAGGGTGTACCCCTCATCTTGTCCCTATTGATGCATCTACACTCCTTTGCGTTGCACACTTTGCCTGAGATTTTTTCATTTTCTTTGTTGAAAAGCTTAATTTGTGCAGCGACTAAAGCTTCCTGAACATCGTTTTTCAACAGGTTTTTCATCTCCCGGTTTTATTTGTTTTGTAGCTTTGATTGCAAGTAAAGGATGATAGTTGCCTGGAGTACGACTTCACGCACATCACACATTCTTAATATGTTCCAACGGTGCATGAGGCAATTTCAACCACCCGTGACGCACCATTGGATGCTATCTCTGACGAGCCACTCGATGTAATCTGTAACATGCTCTTCGATCTGTTTCAGCGGCGCATGAGGGTACGCCCCCAAGTTCCGCAAAATAAAAGCGGAACTGGAGCAGGCCTTCCCTGGTGATCTCGACATCGTAAGTGTGAAAGAGCTACGATCACCTAGTTGGCATCCGGAAGGGGATTTGCTGAGCATGCGTTCTAAAAATATCCTCCCCGTAAATCCTCAGCTGTGCACAGTGCAAGTCATTGTAGCTTACTGGGATGCAGCATTACTTATGAAATCCGGCACAATCCTGCACCGGTGCTGAATAATTCTCGCCCTCAGTCGTCAGCAGTAGACCTGCCTCCCGGTCGCCGACGAGTTAATCTGGTCAGAGGTATGCTGAATGACGCAATCGTTCTCAACATATTGAGAACCATGACGTTCTCCATTCCATCCCGTCTTAAACCATCCCCGTTTCGTTTTTAACTGGTCATGGGCCAGGCGGTGGAGAGCAAGGAGAGTCAGCCGAGGTCATCAGAGAGATAATGATCCAAAAGAATGGCAGGTGAGCAGCCTAGCCGTCTGCACAGAGGGCATACAGCTCCACTGACCTGGCTCGGCCACTGACATTCGCCACGTATCGGTTTCTGGAAGGTGGACTGAGCATGAGGCCAACCCTGAATCAGTCTCACGCCGCGCACAAGTACAGATCTAGCCACTAAGCGATAAACATGGAGGATACCTCGTCTTGAGACAGAGCTTTACAGTTTCGCCATTCACCTGTCTAAGATACGGCCGTGTTTCTGGGCCGCAGATCGACGCGAAGGTCGGGAAGTTTGTCTCAACACTCAGGACCCCAGTCTAGATCCATTCGCTGTGCGATTGACGTCTGCGATACCATATCTGGAAGCAGCGCCTTATAAATCCGCCACTCACCTGTCAACTAGAGCGGCGTGTCTGTTCGCGTCGCTGCCCGCCGGTCACTAAGCGGCCCCTGGGGAGACCTTCGGCGTCTTCACATGGCAGGTCGGCGGCCAGTGACCCTGGCCAGCAGCTGGCGGGAATGCCAAGTCCAGCAGCACGGCGTCCGCGTTCCACGAGCTGTTACGCAGCCGGGCGAAATGATGGTATCGGACGTCTGGACTGACTCTGGCGTCGGGCGTCTCTTACCATGCGACTCGCACCGCCGCGCCGGTTTTGTGCCGTTTCGCTCACGAAGCGAGGGGACGCGACTGGTCCATGAGGTAACTGTTCGGCGTTGGTGGTCGTTAGACATCTGCCTATACGAATGAAGTGCGAACTGCGAACCGTCAAGGATGGTGACGGTGTATGACGGTTCCAAATCGCAGTGACCTTGAGCATTGCAATGCCATGCGTAATGCTCGCCCTTCAGGAACAACCAGACTAAACTTTGCACGGCACATTGAAATGCACCCACGCGTTTGCATCCGCGCATTCTTCACAGGCCCGGCCCGGTCTAGATAAAAAAACACCCCAGCCAGAACTGGATGTGAAACCAGCACCGCGGAAGAGGAGACATCGGAATAATCAGTGTAATTTTGAACCGCCGGTCCCCCGGGGCGAGGATCGCAGATTGGGGTCGGCGGTAGAAATTCGGCCGCCGGAATGGCCGAGGTCCTTTGTCTGCGAGCCTGATTTGCGTTCGGTACTCAGACAATTTTAACTAGCACCATCTGACAATGGGTGGCTAGATGGGTCAGCCCGTTCCGTGAAACGCACAGCCATAGAGACGTGCATTTTATGTAGGACCGAATTTTTCATGTAAACCTTCCACGGTTTCGTCATTTTCAGCATGCCGTAAGATGCGGCGCGTTTGTTGTACGCTCATGCTTCGGTACGGTGGGCTCATCCGCCTGCGGCTGCTACCCACGTTCTGCTCTTCCCGGGCGCCTATTATCCAACTGTTTGTGACGTCATAGTCGCGTTGTGTGGCGGTCGGTTGTGATAGCTGGCAGCGGTTGCGCCACTGGAGCCAGGCGATGGGAAACCATTGCCAGCTCGGCTGGGTTTGCTTTCACCTCTACGAGTTGCTGACTCGGGCCGAACAAAGGGCGAAAACGCATAGGTAACTCTCATGGCAGCGCCGTCTCGGACCACATAGCTCATTTTTGTAACGTTTTTATCAGACGCGTGTGTTGTGAAATACATTTTTCTGACCAACGTATTTTCATTGTGCTGTCATCGTCTAGTAATGGTATACCGCCCTGAACTTTTTGGTGCATTCTTTGCAAACATTTCCCAGGGCGGTCAGCGCAGGGCTAGACTAGATAAGATATGCTCCACATGCTGAAGAAAGGTAGCAAAAGCATCAAAAGCTTCGCAAGTTGATGTTTTACTTGTTGAGTAAGTCATCTGGGAACTTTATTCTTATGTGCCGTTCCACATCATGGCTTTCAATGAATGTGATGATTAAAGGGAGTCTTCCATATTTGTACGGGTTTTGAACTACATTGCCATCTGGTTCGTTCGGTGCAGTTCACAGCCCTGTCCTTAAGACCTAAACCCTTCTAGTTTCTGAGCTGCACGCCCGCGAAGATGTGCAGACTATTTCGGGGTGACTATTTCAAGGTCAGCCAGACGTCCATGAGGCCATAATAGCGCCATTTAAATTCTGCCATTCCATTGGCCATGCGGCGAGCAAGGCCAAGAAAAATGTAATTGCGATTCGTTTATATCTGACGTTCGTGAGCACGATTTCCAGATAGAACGGCCTCAATTGGCTGTCAATCAATGTTTTGCATGATATGATGACATAATCAAACAATGACGTATTTAGGAGCATATTTTTTCAACAGAGAAATTGTGTTGTCTAGAGCAGCCTTTTCCACCAAAAATATTGCAAATATTTGTAAGTGAGCTTATTTCATCGTATCTGATGCTTGCTTCAGTGTTTTCAAAAGTGGAGCATAGCCTTAAATTCAAACTGAAAACAATTACCGATTGGAGCCTGACACCGAAAGCCGACCACTGATCACCACTCGGCTTTAAGCCTTGAATCAAGTTCCTTACCGTGTCCTGTTTTCTCCTCGACCTTCCCGACCTACCGTGAACATTCCGGGTGGACGGCAGTCCCCATCTCTACAGCTGATATCACACCGCTGATCGATTCAGAGGCCATAACATGACACACGTGTCGGTTCAGGAGCCGCGGTCTGCTGTCGGTGGCAGGCCTGTGTCCCGTCGTTCCTACAAGCGCTGAAGCTGTGGCTGGATCACATGGCTTTGGAAGTTACTACGCCGGAGCAGGCCCCGATTTCAAATCTTCGGATGACATTCGGGATACAGATGGACTTTGCTCTCCACAGCTGTGGCGCAATGCTTCGACTTCCTGCGGATGCAGGTTCTCGCGGGGGCGGGCCTGATGTGGCCGGACCGGTGCAGCCTTCAGCTGTGTCTCAGTCAGCTGGGATCCCGCGGCCATTCGCGTTATTGGAGAGGGCCTTGTTGTGACATCAGTCATGGCGTGTCTGGCTGCGCCACCGGCCTCTGCCCGGTTCAAGGTGAAACATTTTAGCATAGTCGAGGCCGCGTTCGATCTGTCGTCAGCACGGTTATTACCTGGAATCCGGGACGTCATACATGTTGACGGAGTGTTCGATGCGAGGCCTGACGGGGAAACATTTAAGTTTACTTTCCTGTTTTCATTTACCTTGTAACCTTTGCCCTGACTTACCGTTTCTCATAACGTGGCCTGATGGGAGGAGTCGATGCTTCATGCGACCCCCCCCCCCCCGGCGTTTATAAACTAAGATAGATATAGGTTAGCAGAAAGCACCAGTGGATTGACCTCAAAGAGATATTGCGATTGACAATGCTTTGCACGTGAAAGGTAAAAATTAAACGTTTTATGGCAGGTCAAGGATCAAATTTTCCCAAAACTGCTCTTTTTGAGCTTAACAGCCTCATACTACGAATTATGCCTCGTAGCGACGCTCCACCTAAATATGCGTATCCCTTGTTCAATTACGAGTGCAATTATGCATATTTTATGGGTTTTAAGCATCTCGTTATGATATATGGCTCCGTTGGCAATGTTTCGCTGCCGCACGCGGTCCGCAGTATCATCGGCTGCCGCCCGTCAATGGAAATCGACGCCGATTGAAACCGAAACCGAAAGGAAGCCGATGGTATAAGAACATTCGTGGGGAGAAGCCAGAATGAAGGAGCCTGCCGGATCGCTCCTTCCCAAACAATGCGGTAGTGATAGCGTTATCGCCAAAGTCTGCCAGTACCAAAAGGAACACTCGCCGCTCACATGGAATGGAAACACCTTCCACCATAGCGTTGCATTTTGAAATGTTTCGGACTCGTGGATGAAAACTTTTGTGGGCCGACACAGCAATGTTAGACGCAAACGATAACAGTTTTATCTCGTGAACCCCATACCACCCATGTATCGAGGTTAAATTTCCAATTACATGATGAGTTCCTGTCAGGGAAGTTGCAACAGTGCGAGCTCGGCTCTCAAAGCAAATAGTTGTTCTAGATCCGGATACTTTGCTTGCAAACGCCGCGCCACATTTGCACGGCCGAGAACGTCTCAACACACATCTCAAGTGAACAGCAGCGCAGTCAGCAGTTTGACAGAGTTTGAACCAAACAAGCGGTTCGCCTGCACCGATGTGAGTTTCTTGCAAACTACGAGATAAAAGAGAGTTAATTATGTCGAATGAAGAAGCTTCTTGCCGTTCCACTGGTCCGTCACCGTGACGCAGCATGTTGCAAGTCATGTCGTGACATGTGACATTGAACGCGAAGAGATGCCGTGACTTGGCGGTGCGCTTAATGCACAGCAGCAAAGCTTGCTTTACTGCGGCGTTTCCATGGCTTCCTGATTAGTCGGGCGGTCGCGTGGACTGACCATAAATAGGAGAAAGCGATGCGTTCTTTTCATGATGCTCGGTGCCGCAGAAGGCATTATTGTGTGTCTCTTGTAACAAGACCGGCGCCCGTCGATAGCTCAATAGGCCGGCTAGGCCATTCGTCCACCATAATTCTTGGATTTTCTGGCCCTCATATTGCTGCAGAGCAGGGCCACAGTCGTGATTACAGCACTGTGATCCGACTACATGCACGCTTGATTGCATGTTATCAATAGAAAGCTGACACGCGCAAGTCAGCACAGCCTCACTGACCTTGACGCGCAACAGTCTCGCTGCAGAAATGCTCCTGGTTTTGTTTGTGTATAGTGTATCAGAAGTGATCTGGACTGAAACCGATCGTAAACGACGTCGGTACGCTCTTTGTCATGGTCCCGGAGCTACTGGTGTGAAGTAGTCCATGAATCATGCTATGCATGGAGAAATGGTAACAAGGGGAGGAAATTTTGGACAGCGAAGGGCTACGCAGGGTGTGGCTGCAAATGTTGATAAATTTTCGTTTTTTTCCAAGAGCGTAGCCGTGGTGAGGGACTTCAGTGCAGGTGGTTTGTAACCAGGAGAAGGGAACAATGTCCGAAATTGCGCGACGTAATTTACAAACATCTTACATGAAATATGTGTGATATAACGTGTTACTTCGAACTATATTTGAGGAGATCAGACTCTAATTCTTTGCGGGAGCCTGGGATGTATAGCCGGGGGCGACGACTCGAATGATGGCCAGAAGTTGGCATAATTCTGATAGCGTCCGTCCCAATGGCTCATTTGGTTAGAGCGTATGCCTTCCGATTCATCCACCCGTGGCTGGGTGGGTTCGAGTCGCTTTAGGCGCTCGCTATTTGTCCTTGGCGGGTATGGCCTGCGGCCGGCGGCAGCGGTCGCCCTAAAGGTCAGTTGACGTCAGAGGGCAGGACGGACCGTGCCGAGCATTGCGGAACTAGCATTGTTACCGAGCATTGTTAAACTTTCACCACTGAATTCTGCCGTTACCTGGAATTGCGCAACCGGATGGTAGGAATTAGGGCTCACACAACAAGCACTGCTTAGCGTGAGCTCTGATTCCAGAAATCCATCCAATGAAAAGGTTTGGATCACATCTTAAAAGAAATCTTCGCTCTGGATGGCATGTCTACTTGCGCTGCCTTCGAGGTACCACTGGAGGCTTACCGTGAACACCTTTGTCTTGATTTTCGACGTTGAACTGCATGAAAATCACAACTCCATAACCCCATGCATATCGTGTACCCAACGCTTTCCAGCTATCTCAAGTATACAGTTGGCGATTGCCAATGTCCTTCATGTGATCGCCCCCGGCTGCACCCCTCGTGCACTGCGACCTCCCCTGACAGTGGCCGGTTGCCTGTTCCAGACCGGGGAGGGCACCCCCAGCGTCACCGGCTACCTGGAGGTGCAGATCGTTGGCGGCAAGCTGCTGCACTCCAAGAAGGTGTGTCGGCCGTGAGCAGCCAACCGGATGTTACGCTTCCTCTGCCGGCGTGACACCCCACTTCGTTAGATCGCTGTGTTTGTGTAATTATATGAAGGTTCTGGTCTGCGACGTATATTTCACGTCAATTAGACTGAGTATTTGAGGATGTTCTCTGAACAGATTAACATTTCCAGCATAGGTAGCAAGGCACAGCAAGTAAGCAGAACCGATAGGGGTCCTGCAACATTTACTCTTTCAATGTCATCACCAGATTCCAGCACCGGTTCGCGGTACTGTAAATGTCAATCCGCTCATGTTATCAATCTGAAAATTGAAAGACCAAGGCAGTCGTGCAAGCGCATCTGGCCCGTCAGGGATGGCTTCCGCAGGCTCAGCTTCCAGAAGGGTTCAAACGTGACCGACGCATTCCAGAGGTTCTGGTGAAATTTTGATATACTTGGGCACTTTTAGTTACGGGTACAGTTGTCTATGCCGATGGAGGGGCTCCAGCCTCCCTTCCGCCAACTTAAAAAAACAAAGTGGGTAAAATAGGGAGGGAACAGTTTTTCGCATTTTGCGTGTATGTTTAGCCGTTCCCCCCCCCCCGACCCCCTTCCCCCCCCCCCTCCTCAACGAGTGATGCGAAAGGCCACCCGCGCTTCAGATGGATTTTGGAAGCTGGATTTTGGAAGCTTACAGTAGTTTAATCGTGACGTTATATCCCGAGCCGTGCTGCTTTTACGGACCTTTATTGCTCGTATATATCGTATTTGTTATCCTCGAACACCGATCTTTGTGCATGACGTGCCATTGCCCACTTGCTGATGACGAGACACAACTCAAATGACAAGTCACGTTAACGTTTGCTTCATCGTTCTCTCATGCAAAATTTGTTCTCCCGAGCACGTGTCCGGACACCATGACCCACCATATCGTAATATTATGCTCTTCGCTAATCGGTATAAAGATGTGGCGCTACACAGCGCGCAGTACACAATTCAACTTATATATATATATATATATATATATATATATATATATATATATATATAATACAACACAACAGACACCTCGCGTCCTCTTGTTGCGCCCGTGTCCTGCTTGGCGCGGCGTGTGGACAACTTCACATGCCCTCTGGCTTCGCAGAACGGCGATGGGTACGTGGACACGCCGCAGAAGATGAACCGCATCATCGAGGGCGTCCGGGCTGCCCTGGCCAAGTGAGGGGTCACTCCTCAGACCTCAGGTGACGCCCCGGAAGTGCACGGGTGAGTAGCGACAAACGTTCACATGTCCGTACGCATCAGGTGTATTTTTATGAGAGGCCTCTTAACTTGCAGCGGTAAATGTGGCATACGCCTTTAAATATTTTTATCATCCAGTTTATCACCTTGGTGGCTTTCCCAGTGGAATGCTTTTTTTGGGGGGATAAGGTGTTCCGCCAGCTAATTATGACGACCGCTATCACTGCCGGTACTGTTTGCGCCATAAACGTGTCAGTCATTTTGGTTCTGAGGTATGATTGTACATTTTGCCTGTCGTTGGACTTGCTGTTGAAAGATAGTCAACTTAATGTCATGTTTTCTCAGAACGATTTGTTGAAATGTTGTCGGAAAATGTTCCATTGTCTTGATCGTATCTTAAGTATTGTACGAATAATTTTTTAAATAACAAGGGCCTGTCTAATTTGTTTGTTACACAAGAGTTTTTTGGAACTAGGATTTGTCCAAAATTTTCTTGCAGGATTTTGGTTGATCTTGGATCTTTTCTTGGGATCCAGGTTTGTACATGCCTTTCAGGCATATGTTGCCTGGACTTTTGTATGCCACACGTCCAACATCAAGGGCAGCAGCCGGCGTTAGCAGATACTCCGTCCAATAAAGCACCTCCTCTAACGAACACAATCGTTAGTGCTGTAGACAGAATGATGTGGGTAGGTCCATATTACACCACTATTTCATGTACATCTCGCAAAATAATTGTGTGACGTCACGACTACGAAGGGGCCGTCCGCTCCGGCAATGCCGCATGACTGTTCCGGCCGCGGGTCGGTGGGGGCCCGCGCCAGCCCTGGGGCGGCTGCCGGTCGATACCCCGCGGCGTGCCGTGACCGGTCGCGGCCGATCGCCGCGGCACAGCCGGCCACCCACCGGCACCCGGTCGGTGCTGGTTCCATCGGGGCTCGTCAGTACCCAAACGACCACTACCCGCGAACGTTGTTTGCACGGGACCATGCGCACGAGAGCCAACGATTTTGTTCCTCACTTAACTTGCGTATTGAGCATATAATCGCATAGATTGCATTACACGCGTATATACGCGTATAGTATATGTGTGCTATAGATATATGCGTATATACGCGAACAATATATGCGTATTATGAATGTCTGCGTATATATGCATGATATACCCATATAATATAGGCCTGTAATACAGCCACCCTGCCGCGTCTCCGACCCGCCGGACACGCGGCTGGACGGCGTGGCACTCTGGCGCGTCCGAGGTCTGTGTGAAGCTCGTCCCACTGACATATGCACATGATATGCCACAAGGACTTGCGACTCATCGGACTTTTATGAGTCGCGAGTCCTTGCGGCGTATCATATGCATATGTCAGTGAGACGAGCTTCACACAGACCTCGGACGCGCCGGAGCGCCACGCCGTCCAGCCGCGTGTCCGGCGGGTCGTAGACGCGGCAGGGTGGCTGTTACGTCTCCTGCGCTGTGGTGGAGGCGGGAGGTGGCGTTCTTCAGCTGTGCTAGGTACCGAGTATGAGGGCCGCCGCCACCACAGTGGACGGGCCGAGTGGTGTCGTGGGTCAGTTACATCGATCGGGCTGGCCGGCTCGTGGACAACGCACAGGTGTTTAGCCCCCGCTCCTGTTGCTAGGCAACGTAGGTCCTGCACCATGCACATATCAGGACCTCCGCTGAGGAAATTTGACCGCGGGTTCGGGGTCAACTCGTCCTGTCCTAGTCAAGCATACTCCAAATTTGATTCATATTGATTTTCCATCTTTGGAGACGTTTTCCGACGAGAGCTAGGGACAAAGACATTGTCGTGCAAATTTTCTGCCCCCCCCCCCGCACCCAGTGACACGAGGCAGGAGCGTTCACGGGGGGCTTATGCTTCGATTGGGTCAGTGCGTGCAGTGCCATGTCGCTGCCTCGCTTAATTTTGGCGATCTGTTGTGTTTGTTGTCGCGTTCTCTGCGTAACATGGCATCGCCATGCCGTATGACTTGTCCGTCCCCGCAGGGCGGCAGCTAAAGCCTAGCAGTTGTGTGATAAAGAAGCACACCCTTCTTTAAAGGCCTAGTCTGAGGCTAATGACTAAAGATGGGCATCTGGAATCAGCGCTTACGCTGAGCAGTGCTTGTGCGAGCTTCAACCACTCATCTTCAACCATCCGACTGCGAAATTCCGTGTCAACGGCAGGATTTTACAACGAGGGCTTAACGTGCTATAATGCTGGTAGCGGTCCGTCCTGCACCCTGGCTTTAGCGGGCCGCTGCCACCTGCTGCAGGCTTTCTCAGGGGGGGCAAATGGCGAGCGTCTTACGTCACTCGAACTGACCCCGCCGCGGGCGGGCGCATCAGAAAACACGTGACCCCCTCCCCTCTCGGGCTGAGGACGCCCTTTGCCTTCCGACCTCTGACCTCCCTCTGACCACTCTGTCGGCAGGCCACCTCGATTGGTCGTGACGTCAGCGTCACCATGACGCCCGCCACCGAAAGCTCAGCTGGCGACGGGCCGAAGCTAGGCGATGACGTCACGGTCGGGCCGAGACGGCCGTGCGCGGCCGGGGCGCGCGCCAAGACTCGCCTTCAGCCTCTGCCTGAAATCCATCTCGGGGACGCTACTTACAGTTCTGCGCGTGTGCTCGTTTGTTCCGTCCATATGACGTGTGGCGTCGGCCTTGGTCACCCAAATTCGAATAGTGATAGGCTTCCACATACATGTTCCGCTCGTGAATCAATGGCAATACAGAGGCGGGGTGGTTGGAGGTTCTGACTTGTTGCTTTGAATCGCATGGCACATAAGTTTCCTAAATTGGTTAATTTGAGAAACGTCATGCGCCGTGGAGCAATCTAACGAGCAGGACTCCCGGTCAATCTGACAGTCGGCCAAGGAAAACAACGAACGTGATATCAAACGCTACACGCTGTTGAAAACTCCCAGCAAAAAGTTCCACGACATATCCCTGGAAAGATTTCTTAGCTGCGAGCTGTAACAGGCAACGAAATAATGAATCTTCTTCACTGCAGCATGACCATGCAAGTGTTGCCATGGGCAGGCGCAAGGCTCCGGGGATTATGGCTGCAACGCCCATTACGACCATGACTCTGCACTTTGCCGCTCCATACCAGGTGCACAGGCGTCCTTGGTCGCCATGCGGACCAGACCAGACCCAGCGGATTGTCACATGCTGACGTCATCTCTGCCGCGCCCGGATTCAAAGTGGCGCTGGCTTTCGTATTCCGTCGTGACAAGGGCTCTGAGGCGAGGTACAGTCGTAGCAGTGGGGCTCCTCTCGAGAGCGGCGCATTTATTCCGCCCTTGGCGGCTGCGAAGGTCGACGGTCGCGACCGTTGACCTTGGCTGTATTGCGTCTGCGTCTGCGAATGCGCCTGTATCGCAGCTGGTGGCCGCCGGCATGCAAATTGGACACCGGGGACGGGGAGCCGGGCGCGGACACAGGGTACCCCACCGGGATTTTTACAAACAGTCCTCGTGGTCGGGGGCCCCGCCAGGAGGCTATATATATATATATATATATATATATATATATATATATATATATATATATGTATATATATATATATATATATAAAGATAAGATATTAGAGCATTCAACTGACACCGTTAGGTATGACGACGGCCACAGTTCCACATTTCAGCACAAACTCTCTGGGCATTAACAGGACAGATTGAAAAATGTCAAAAAAATCACGTGACGAAATATCCTGTTGATTCCTAATGAAAAAGGCAATGTCATAACTTGCAAAGCGTATGCAGGTCCCATGATGTACAATGGTGACTTTTGTTGGTGAATATGAAGTGTTTCTAAAATCTCAAGATCAAGAGAATTGCTGCAACGTCCTGATACGGAAACATTTTCAATGTTATAGTGATTGTCGCACGCGAATGAATAGTCTTAAATGGGCGAAGGGTCTGGGTTAAGTAGAATGCTGCCTCTACGGTTGGACCTTCCCAAATGTTGCTACAATTTGCATTGCAAGTTACGAAGGGTTTAATCCACTTAAGATGCTCCACGCTAAGCAAAACAATATTTTTAAGTGATTGCAGGCATAGGACATTTGAAAAGCTTTGTCTTTTGACCTAAATGAAGATCCAACAGTAAAGAGTTAACATATTCGATTCTAGGTGACAGGAACGGACAAAAACCTTATAGGAGGTTTTTCAAGCTCATTTTTAATTTGTATCGGCTTATTCAAAATAAGGCAATACCAAATATTCATTTAGGCTAATTATATCGTGAATGGTGGGAGGACTCTCACATACTTTGCATCCAAGAAGGTGTTTATTAAACTATCAATGACTGAAAGTGGGAAGCCATTTCTCTGAAATAATTATCTGAGCCGATCAGGTTCGGATTTATATATATATATATATATATATATATATATATATATATATACATATATAAACACGTGTGTGTGTGTGTGCGTGCGTGCGTGCGTGCGTGCGTGCGTGCGTGCGTGCGTGCGTGCGTGCGTGCGTGCGTGCGTGCGTGCGTGTGTGTGTGTGTGTGTGCATAAAGGCATGAATTACATACTTTTGCAGCTTACGATCAAGGCAGCAACACTAAAAAACGAGAACATTTTAAATCACGTCGAGTTGGATGTCAAACGAATCCTTGCAACAAATGTAGCTCGATTGTGTATATAAATGTGACGTGAGCACATTTGACCTGTTGTCAGTTTCATCCAGCCACTTGACCTTTGACCTCCGATCCTCTACTTGGCCTGGAATCAGAGGGCAGAAAACGCTAAGCCATGTGAAATAAGCATGCATATCCCCAACAGAACTTCGCGTGACACTATTCGATTCTTATGAACACGCATTGTGCTTCGCTGTATTGTACATTGAAGTACAAGCACTTCGTTTCATTGTACGTCGAAGTATATCCGATGCACACTTCTTAGAATGTGGGCTTCCACCTCGTGCAGAAGCAATTGCAGTTGATCCTTGTCGCCGTCTACAATGTCTCCAAAGATGTCATTCACCGACACACCATTCTCTGCAATATGATTGGAAACTTTTGCACAAGATTCAGATTCATTATAAAACAGATGGCCGTCTTTCGCTTCTTATTCAACGACTGGCTGGCTTATCTATTCCAGTCTCTCAAATTTCATATTATAGCTTTTTCAGAACATGAAGCTGGAACAGAAGCTGAACCAGGCTAGCATGCATCTGAAGAAGCTGGAATACCAGCAAATGGAAATCATCCACCAGACCTGACCACGCTATCCCCCAGTTGACGAACGGCGCAGCATCCTCGAAATAATTCGCCACTGGCGGATAACAGCGTCGAGGCTACTGGATTGTTTTCTTCATCTCGCTGACGTCATCCGAAACCCGACAGGACATGATCGTCTCAGACCTGAAATAGGCCCCGTGGGAGCACATGACTGCCAACGCTGCTGCGACCACGGGCTTTTTAACCGTCTGGTAGTGCGCAGGTTCTGGCACAGCCTCAGGTCCTTCCTAGGGGCAACAGCGAACGGTGTGTCCGCGTGACTGTCTGCACTGACGACCGCCCACGACCTTAAGAATGACCGAAATTGTACCAGGATGTGCTGCACTACCGCACGGTTGTCGTGCCATGGCCGGAGTGGTATTGACCGTGATGTGTCTCCATTTGACCCATTTGCTACCCCAGGTGGTCATGTTCTTCCTAGCTTCTGGTGACGGCAGCAATAATGGAAAAAACCGCCGTTGCTTTGACACTGTCGTCTACGCCAGTGGCAAACGGCTTTAAAGATGCTGCGCCATTCGTCAACTCGGAGAAAAATTATTTGATCTGGTGGATGAGTTCTCTTGGCTGGCATTCAAACTCATTCATATCGATACTAGCCTCGGGCTAAAGTTAGCGCTCTACAGTTGTATGCGTTTTAAATTGAAAAAAAAATCTTAAAGATCAGTAGGTGCAAATCGCAAAGATGCCCTTCTCCCCCCCCCCCCCCCGAGTTTCTGAGCTACACACCCGCGAAGATGTGCATACTATTTCGTGTAAACGATTTCGATGTCACCCAGGCATCCACGTTGCCGCAGTAATGTCATTCAGATCCTGCCATTCCATTGGTCATGCGTTGATCAAGACCAATACAAATATGATTGCCGAGCCATTCATACCTGGCGTTCCTGAGTACAATTACTAGGTACAATGGACGTCAATTGGCTATCAATCAATGTGACGCGTGTTACGATGACGTAAACAATCACGTATTGAGGAGCACATTACTAAATAAAAAAGTTATGTTGTGTAGAGCAGTCTTTTCCGCTTAAAAGTGTACCGACAGTTATGAATGAACTGCTTTTATCATATCTGATGCATACTCACTGACCTAGCATTGCTTTGAACTGGGGCGGGAGTGAAAAATTTCATCGCAAAAAGACCGCCCGGGAATGGAAAATTCCATTTACGAAAGATGGAGCTTATAAGCTAGTGACTGATGCGTCAACGAACAGACATCTATTTCAAGTTGGCATGGACGTAATATCATAAACTTGACAAAACCGATTTTTTAACATGTTAGCCTATTTAAGTGAAACAGAATACATTAGAGCATACCAACTTCATGACAGTGTAATGAGCATGAAAAATTAAGTAACACGAATAACTTGACGCTGCATTTTGAACTCCCCTTCCGCGGCATTTTTAACACAAAACAAAGCAAAGAAATTCAAAAACAAAATAACAACAGAAAATTCAACAAGGATAAAGCACTTGAAAAAGCAAAAAAAACAACAACTTTGGACTCTTACACATCAGCCCATCACCAAGTCAAACACAATACACATACCTCTGGCTTCTGTTAAGATGGAGTCAGGGAAAACAAACATTTTGTCACTGTTTCTTACAAAATACCAATGCTCATTTCCATGAAAGTAGCTTAACTATGCCTAACCTAAAGAGGTCTTACTTCATCTCATCCTGTCTAACCTGTTGGTATCACAGCAGCAGTTGTGAGTTACTGATTCTTGCACAATTCCTATTGTCACTTGCCATGCTCTTAACCAACTTAACCTAACTTACGGTAGTCCATATGTTGAACATCATTTCAACTCACCTATCTGTTGACAGCAGCACCTATGATAAAACATAATAAAGCTCATTTTTACTGGTTTCAACTTGCATTTTTATTCAGTTCATTTGGGTGTGCTTGTTGACATCAGACAAAGTTGACAACACACAAATGAAGAGACTTCAAATCACTTTGAATACCTTATCCTGATTGCCATGGTTAACCTCTGTCAAGGGCAACAATGGGTATGCTGCACAAAACAATCTCTCTTCTCCAAAAGTAACATAACTTTTAGATGACCATGCCAGTTTTGCTGCTTGAGTTTTGAGCTGCAGCAAAGGCATCTATTTAGGTTTGTTCATTCATATTTAATGACATATTTTGAGATGTTGGCTTCACATTTTAAATGGCATGGAATGACAATTTGCTTATTGCTAATAATTGCCTTAGATTATGATTGCTATGCAGCTTAAAGTATCCCAGTATCAAAATTATAGTGCATATATACAGTACAGTCATTTGCCAGTTAGCAAACCATGACAACTATGGAAAACATCTGGTTGAAACAACCATGAGGGACCACTTCAAGAAATTTGAGACAAGTAATCAAGAATATGGAACAAAATAAGCCTACTGCCTGCTTTGTGGCATCGTAATTTGTCTTATGACAAAACTCAGTGCGTTAAACTCGAAAATGGCTAACTCTGGTTACAAATCATGTGCTAAAAGCTGGGG